CTCTTGTTACCCAGGCTGGAGTGCAATGGTGCGATCTCGGCTCACCGCAACCTCTGCCTCCTGGGTTCAGGCAATTCTCCTGCCTCAGCCTCCTGAGTAGCTGGGATTACAGGCACGCGCCACTATGCCCAGCTCATTTTTTGTAGTTTTAGTAGAGACCGGGTTTCACCATGTTGACGAGGATGGTCTCGATCTGTTGACCTCGTGATCCACCCGCCTCGGCCTCCCAAAGTGCTAGGATTACAGGCTTGAGCCACCGCGCCCGGCAGGTTTATGTAACTTTTTCCTGGATCTTGCTCTGTCACCCAGGCTGGAGTGCAGTGGTGTAATCATCATTCACTTCAGCTTTGACCTCTTGGATCCCAGTGATCCTCCCATCTCAGCCTCCTGAGTAGCTGGGGCTACAGGCAAGCGATACCAAGCCCAGCTAAGTGTTTTCTTTTTTGTCGAGGTGGGTCTGTGTTGTCCAGGCTGGACAAACTCAAACTCCTGGCTTTAGTCAGTCCTCCTGCCTCAGCCTCCCAAGGTGCGCTGGGATTACACACGAGCCACTGCACCCAGCCTTATGCCACATTATTAATGCTTATTAGAGGCTTCAGCACCACAGTAAAGATGAAGGAGCGCAGTGGGAGTAATGCCCTCTGGGCCACACATGGAAGGGCACTCTGGCTGTCCTCAAAGCAGCACAGTATGCTGAGGAAAGAACAGAGGCACTAATCAAAAACAAGGGCATCCCTGAGGTCTCAGACACCACTAGTTACTCCGCATCAGGCCCTCCGTGGCCCACTCCCTCTCAGGACCCCAAGAGCTGCAGGCAGCAGAGTCTTTAGGGAACAGCAGGCATCCCCTGTGGAAAGAGCTGTCTAGACAGACTGCTGGACTACGAGCAGTGGCGGAGACCACCAGGCTCCACAGGGTCTTTGCGCCAAACCTGCAAATTAAGAGGCAGCTGGGTCCAGGAAGCAAGCGGCTCTTCCCAACTTGGGAACAGCACGTTTCTCAGCTTTCCGTGTTAGTAACCACGGCGGAGGGGAACCCTCGGTGCCGCACTTGCACAGGTGCGAGCCGCCCACGCTGCCCAGAGCCACAGAGCCCAGCTGCGAGTGACTGTAATGCCCCAGTGGTATAATTAAAAGAGAAAAAGTAACCTGAGCACCCTGGCAGCAGGGGAAGCCCCATTCTGCAACTGAGTGGTGTTCATTTCAGACTCTTAAAAGCCTGTTTTATTTCCTCGTTTCGAGGTAAGAGTAAGGACCTGACAGGATGAAGAATGCCTCTAAACAGGGCGCAGAGAGGCCTGGCAAACCAGAGTGCCAACCGTCCAAGTCAAGTGCACCCCGGGCAGGGCAGACAGTGGTTCTCAGCAGGCTTCCTCCCGGCACCTGAGTCAGTGCTCCGCCCACCCGCACTTGCAAACGGCCGCAGGGCCGCCCCTCTGCACTGATGCTGTTCCTTCTCAGGCCCAACAGAGGATGCAGGTGGTGGCAGCACACCAACGGTGGCGTGTCCCTCTCCACCCCACCCACTTCCAGTCATTCTTTGCATGTCATCTCAGCACTGATGACTGACCTGTAAAGAGACAAGCCAGGTTCTCTATCATTCTAAAAGCCCAGTAGTTCCAACAGCAGAAACTGACCATTTTACATCTTCACAGCAGACATGATGACTGGCTCAAGGCCCAAACCTAACAAATGTTTTGAGTCGAAAGGAGGTTAGGTGGCGCAACCATGCCTCACGGTACAGTTTTAAAATACCATCTCATGGAAGAGTATTCAATGCCACAGAACAATCCTACGACAATACATCAATGGCAAAGAACACCAAACACCACATACACGCACACTCCAGTGACCAGGAAATAGACACATAGAAACTGACCATTTTACCTCTTTACAGCAGACATGATGACCGACTCCAGGGCCTGAAACACGCCAGAGAGCCGTGACTCCCGAATCCAGAGCCTCAAAACACACCAGGGAGCCCTGACCCCCGACTCCAGAGCCTGAAAAACGCCATGGATCCCTGAGCCCCGACTCCAGAGCCTCAAACACACCAGGGAGCCCTGACCCCCGACTCAAGCGCCTGAAACACGCCAGGGAGCCCTGACCCCCGACTCAAGCACCTGAAACACGCCAGGGAGCCCTGAACCCCGACTCAAGCGCCTGAAACACGCCAGGGAGCCCTGACCCCCGACTCCAGAGCCTCAAACACACCAGGGAGCCCTGACCCCCGACTCCAGCACCTGCAGAGAGCTTCCTCCCTGGCGCAGGGACAGGGGGCCCAGGCAGAGCAGGCAGTCTTGCGTAGCTGAGGAGGCAAGGGCTAGAGTTCAGGGACACAGAGGCAGCTGGAAGTGGCAGGGCAGAGTATTGGAGAGAGGAAGCTACGTGAGACAGAGTCCTAGAAATCTGCACGGAAGCGTCCTTTGGAGTCTCTGTACACTAAGCTGCACCTTGGCAGGGTGAGACCCAGGAACCACCACTGTGAAGACAAAAGCATGAGAACTATCTGAGCTTACACAGGGCTTTGAAAGAGGCAAGTTCCAACCAGACAGGATGGAAACACATTGCTGGTCACACAAGGCACTCAGTAGAGACTGCAGGAAGGCCACCATGAGGGCTGAGCTAGCCCTAGAGACAGCAACAAAAAGATCAAGATGAGAGTTGGGAGGAGGTGGGAAAAGAAAAAAAAAAAAAAAAGGGATCAAGATGATCTGCAAGGACCTGAATCACCTGCCAGGACAAAATGCAACACTGTTTGACAGGTGAAAAAATCCAGACACTCAGGCCAGGAGCAGTGGCTAACGCCTGCAATCCCAGCACTTTGGTAAGTGGTGGATCACTTGAGGTTAGGAGTCTAAGACCAGCCTGATGAACATGGTGAAACTCTGTCGACTAAAAAAAAAAAAAAAATACAAAATTAGCCGTGTGGTGGCGCACGCCTATAATCCCAGCTACTTGGGAGGCTGAGATTACAGTGAGCCGAGATCCCACCACTGCACTCCAGCCTGGTTAACAGAGTAAGACTCGGTCTCAAAAAATAAATAATTAAAATAAAACGTTGGGCACAGTGGCTCACATCTGTAATCCTAGCACTTTGGGAGGCCGAGATGGGTGGATCATCTGAGGTCGGGAGTTCGAAACCAGTCTGACCAACGTGGAGAAACCCCATCTCTATTAAAAACACAAAATTAGCTGAGCGTGATGGCACATGCCTGTAAACTCAGTTACTCGGAAGGCTGAGGCAGGAGAATCACTTGAACCCGGGAGGTAGGGGTTGCAGTGGGCCGAGATTGTGACATTGTACTCCAGCCTCGGCAACGAGAGCAAAACTCCGTCTCAAAATAAATAAATAAATATAAAGAAAGAAAATAAAAAATAAAACAATCCAGACAGTCAATAGGCAGCATCCACAAAGTCCCGCATCTAATCACACAGTACTAACAGGAAAATATAAAGTAATAGGAGAACAATCAGTGGACAGAAACAGAACCAGGAACGACAGAGATGAGAGAGTAAGACAAGGGCAGTCAACAGCTATAAATGTGCTCAAAGATTGGGAGGAGGATGTGAACAGACTAAGCAGAAACTATAATCGAGGACCAAACAACTTCTAGAGCTGAAAAAATACCACATATAAAATTAAAAATTCGTTAGTTCACAGCACATCCACTCATCTTGAAGAAAGGCAACAAAACTACTCAAAATGAGAGAGAGAGAGAGAGAGAATAAAGGAAGACAGAAAAAGAGGTTTTCATTCCCCTATAGAATATTACAGTCTAATGTACATGTAATTTAACTTCCAGAAAAATCACAAAGATATCAAAATCGAATGTACAAAAAGCTTACACAGGCCAGGCGCAGTGGCTCACTCCTGTAATCCCAGCACTCTGAAAGGCTGTGGTGGGTGGATCACTTGAAGCCAGGAGTTCGAGACCAGCCTGGCCAACATGGTGAAATCCCTTCTCTACTAAAAATACAAAAAGTAGCCGGACATGGTGGCGTGTGCCTGTAATCCCAGCTACTTGGAAGCCTGAGGCAGGGGAATTGCTTGAACCCAGAGGCGGAGGTTGCAGTGAGCCAAGACAGAACCACTGCACTCCAGCCTGGGAGACAGAGCAGGACTCTGGTCTCAAAAAAATAAATATTCCAATGTAGAAGGCACCTTAGTCACCTAATACAATCCCCATCATCTAATACGATTACAAGATTCAGGTCAGAAAAAGCAAGCCAATGGCCAGCCACAAGCCTGTGGGCCCCACAGCAATCTCACACCAAAACCCAGAGATCCATACTTCCCAATCTCACCACTACCACACCCCAGAGAAAAGCCCTTAAAAACAAATCATGACAGGTCAAGTGCAACTGAAAACCACAAAGGCTTTCATGGCATCAATTGTTTAAGAATGTCATTAATAACAGTAATTAGAACAGAAAAGAATAGGTAAGAAAGGCCAGGCCTGGTGGCTCACGCCTGTAATCCCAGCACTTTGGGAGGCCAAGGCGGGCAGATCGCTCAAGGTCATGAGTTTGAGACCAGCCTGGCCAACATGGTGAAGTCTCGTCTCTATTAAAAATACAAAAAATGAGCCAGGCGTGGTGGCAGGTGCCTGTAATCCCAGTTACTAAGGAGGCTGAGGCAGGAGAATTGCTTGAGCCTGGGAGACGGAGGTTGCAGTGAGTCGAAATAATGCCACTGCACTCCAGCCTGAGTGACAGAGTGAGACTCTCTCTCAAAAAAAAAAAACAAAACAAAACGAAACTCCAAGAGTATAAAAATCTAATTTTTAAACCCGGCCAAATGCCTGCAAAGTCTGCATCTACATGGGATGTTCACTAAGCTCAGGCAGGCGCAGAACCAACTTCTTTGGCAAGTGACTTCTAAGCACAGCATCAGCAAAGGGGGAAGGAAATATTTCAGAGGAATGTGTGAATTATGCTGTAGTCGCCTCATGTGATGATCTTTCTCCGAACTGTAGAAATATGCACTCAAATTATTTTTTGTGCAAGTGCAACCCGTACCAGAGTCGAACCAAGGATAAAGACAGAGTACCCAACCTTCCGGAGCTTACAGAACATCTGACACCAGGGCCCCTTCCCCAACAGGATGTGATGGCTCTGACGGTGGCTCTCCTGTGTAAGGAGCCAGCTGGCGGCATGCTAAGTCAGAGCTACTTCTCTGTTACCCTGTTACCACTGCTGACACAGTTGTTTTCTGCTGACACAATTATTTTCCTTCCACCATGCATACCTTCCCCAAACACCCAGTTCTGTCTTCACCATCTAGTGCAGACCATGGGCCTCGAGTAGAAGTGAGCACTCTGCCTGTGGCTGGGACACGCCAGGCACGACACCAGGTATTTTACATGGAATATCTCACACGATCCTCGTGCCCCCTGGGGAGCAGGCCTTCACCCCGCCTCGTCTCACAGTGAAGAAGCTGAGTAAGGAATCCAAGGGAGCAAACAGCAGAGCCAGGGGATCTCAAGGCCTAGACCCTCCACACCAGCCACCATCACCTATCAACTCTCCACGTGTCTACCAGACTCTCACATGGCACGAGGGGGAGGGCGGTTATGAGTCAGTGAGGACACTACCTGGTGAGCACAGCGCCTCGGAGGTGGACTGGGGATGTCAACTTTGGTCCAGGTGTCCTTTCTGATATTGTAGACATAGAGCTCATTATATAAAAAAGTCTGCAGGAAGGAAGAGAAGTGTCACTGTCATGAACAATACACTTCCCACGGAAGTGGCGAGAACAATCTTAAGCATTACGATTCCCTGGGAAACTGACATCCTAAAGCAATGTAAACCATACAGCGCGTGGAGGCCATGTGGCTGGTTCCCTGGGGCCCTCTGGGATGACGACACCATGAAAATGACCAGATGCCCACCAGGCCCATGAATCTGGAAGGTACTGAAAGCCCTTGTTTATTGGGATTGGTCATTCTTCCAATTCAAACCTAGTTTTATTTATTTATTTATTTGGACAGAGCCTTGCTCTGTCGCCCATGCTGGAGTGCGGTGGCACGATTTTGGCTCACTGCAACCTCTGCCTCCCAGATTCAATCGATCTCTGCCTCAGCCTCCCAAGTAGCTGGGATTACAGGTGTGTGCCACCACGCCTGGCTAATTTTTGTATTTTTAGTAGAGACTGGGTTTTGCCATGTTGGGCAAGCTGGTCTCAAACTCATGACCTCAGGTAATCTGCCTGCCTCGGCCTCCCAAAGTTCTGGGATTACAGGCATGAGCCACCATGTCCCGCCAAGCCTAGTTTCTAAATGCACAAAAACAAAGAGGAAGATGGACAAATGCCGTCGATCCCCCAGGGGCCATCCCAGGCTGCAGGGCAGGTGAGCTCCTGCTTCGCTGCTTCACATACAATTCTGAAACACAGGCCCTTCTGGCCTGCTCAAAAACAAAAAGTAGCCCTACAATTTATCCACACTTTTCCTATTTAAGACAACCTGAAAGCTGAGTGTAAAATCTGGAAACCCACTGGGAGGAAGAACAGAACAATCACCCACAGCAAGGGCTGTGTCCATCAAGAGCGACCACGGCAGAACTGGGCTCAGTGTAAGTCCCAGGAACGGAGACCCCAGCACCACTGATGCCATCAACAGTCACACGCCAGTGCCTGGACAATCCTGGTGGCATCTCACATCAGGCCTGACAGCTCAAGCCCGTGGCATGAGGTGGGTGAAAGGTCCAATGCGTATTTGATGTCATTGCCTTAACTTTCTATCAAATGATACTCATGCAATATGGGGAAAAAAAGAAAAAATATATATACTTTACTTTTTGGCCATTGAAATATTCACCTCCGAAAAGGATTAATTCATCTTTCTCAGGATGAGCCGAGAGGGAGGCATTTAACCTACAAGAGATACAAGCAGCACGTCAGCAGGTCTCCCCGAATCCCCACCTGAGCGCCGTCCCCTTCCTCACAGAATCCTCTATCACCACAGACTGGTGTCTCTACACTTCCTTAGAGGAGAGCCTGGCATCCAGAAAAGCAGCACAGGTGCCAACCTTTTGGCCCCTCTACCAGTTCCCAGGGCCACACTCCCAGGACAGCCCTGGAGCTGGGCTGACACAGTGTCTGGTTGTTTAAAAAAATTCCCTAGGCAGGAAGAAGTCCAGATGCCCCTATTAATGCATCAAATGTTCCAGAACTGTCCTTTGTTTTCTATGAGATGGAGTTTCCCTCTTGCCACCCAAGCTGGAGTGTAACACCACAATCTTGGCTCACTGCAACCTCCACCTCCTGGATTCAAGTGATTCTCCTGCCTCAGCCTCCTGAGTAGCTGTGATTACAGGTGCCCGCCACAATGCCCAGCTAATTTTTGTATTTTTTAGTAAAGATTTTGTATTTTTTAGGGTTTCACTGTGTTGTCCATGCTAGTCTCAAACTCCTGACCTCAAATGATGTACCCACCTTGGCCTCCCAAAGTGCTCGGATTACAGACATGAGCCACCACACCTGGCCCTCAAAACCATCCTCTTTTAAAACCCTATCCTCTCAAATCACCTCGAAACTGTTCTAAAAATTTCAGTATTGGCCAGTCGTGGTGGCTCACGCTTGTAATCCCGCACTTTGGGAGGCCAAGGCGGGCAGATCATGAGGTCAAGAGATCGAGACCAACCTGGCCAACATGGTCACTGTCTGTACTAAAAATACAAAAATTAGCCGGGCATAGTAGCATGCGCCTGTGGTCCCAGCTACTCGGGAGGATGAGGCGGAAGAATCGCTTGAACCCAGGAGGCGGAGGTTGTAGTGAGCCGAGATTGCGCCACTGCATTCCAGCCCAGGCCACAGAGCAAGACTCGTGTGTCAAAAAAAGAAAAAATAAGTAAAGACATTACAACCACTTCAGTCGAAAGTAATTGCTGGGTGGCCGGGCACGGTGGCTCAAGCCTGTAATCCCAGCACTTTGGGAGGCCGAGGCAGGCGGATTATGAGGTCAAGAGATCAAAACCATCCTGGCCAACATGATGAAACCCCATCTCTACTAAAAAAAAAAATACAAAAATTAGCTGGGCGTGGTGGTGTATGCCTGTAGTCCCAGCTACTCGGGAGGCTGAGGCAGTAGAATTACCTGAACCCGGGAGGCAGAGGTTGCAGTGAGCCGAGATGATTGTGCCACTGCACTCCAGCCTGGCGCCTGGTGACAAAATGAGACGTCTGGGGAAAAAAAAAAAAAGAAAGAAAAGAAAGTAATTGCTGGGCATGGAGGCTCACACCTGCAATCGAGGCTAAGGGGGGGCGGATCATGAGGTCAAGAGTTCAAGACCAGCCTGGCCAACACGGTGAAACCCCGTCTCTACTAAAAATACAAAAAGTAGCTGGGCATGGTGGCAAATGCCTACAATCGTAGCTGCTTGGGAGGCTGAGGCAGAAGAATTGCTGGAACCCCGGAGGTGGAGGTTGCAGTGAGCCAAGATCACGCCAGTGCACTCCAGCCTGGGCAACAAGGGCAAAACTCCGTCTTAAAAAAAAAAAAAAAAAAAGAATCAACAGTGTTTCCCAAATTTCTCTCACCCTGAATCCTTTTCCCTTAAACACCTATTGATTTTCTGCAGAAAAATACCAAACACAACTTGGGAAACGATCCACATAGGGCCCAAGCTGAGGCCCCCCACCCAGCTCGCAGCTGCACCAGCCCAGGTGTTTCTGCCACACAGGCAGGTGAAGTACTGACGCAGCTGGTGTCATGCCCCATTTTCCAGGTAAGTCACAGGGAGCCAGTTCTGAGGGTATGCACATTTAAACACTGGTCATTCTAGCTGGGTGTAGTGGCATATGCCTATAAACCCGGCGACTCAGGAGGCTGAGGCAGGAGAATCGCTTGAACCCAGGAGGTGGATGTTGCTGTGAGCCAAGATAGCACCACTGCACTCCAGCCTGGGTGACAGAGCAAGACTCCATCTCAAAAGTGTAAAATAAAAACGGGTCATTCTCACAATGTTAAGGTCATATGATTGAGAGGTGGAAGGCTGGAAGTTATTAAGGTTACCAAGCTAAAGGTCTTAATCTCATGATGGCTGTTTCAGTATCTGCTCCCTCCTTTTATAGGAAGCATTTCCAGCTGACCCAGGGAACTATCAATACCTTAAATTATATCCTGACATGAAACCTGACTTGTAGGGGACATTACTTATGGAAAAATTCTAAAACATTAAAAAAGCAACCAAAAACAAAAAATGTAAAAGGCCGGGCACGGTAACTCACACCTGTAATCCCAGCACTCTGAGGGGTCAAGGTAGGTGGGTCACCTGAGCTCAGGAACTCGAGACCAGCCTGGACAACACAAAAAATGTCTCTACAAAAAAAATAAATAAATAAAACCAATCCCCAAAGTGGCTTTCCTCAGGAGTGCTGGTATATCAGAAGCCTTAAAGGTAATTTTGCATTTGAGTTGTTGAAGCAACTCAAATGAAAATGCACATTTACAGCAGGTCACAGTGGCTCATGCCTATAATCCCAACACTTTGGGATGCTGAGGCAGGTGGATCACCTGAGGTCAGGAGTTTGAGACCAGCCTAGCCAATATGGTGAAATGCCATCTCTACTAAAAACATAGATATTAGCCAGGTGTGGTGGTGCATGCCTGTAATCCCAGCTACTTGGGAGGCTGGGTCAGGAGAATCACCGGAACCCAGGAGGCAGAGGTTGCACTGATCATGCCACTGCACGACAGCCTGGGCAACAGAGCAAGATTCCATCTCAAAACAAAAAAAATGTACATTCACCAAGCGTAATTTACAATTGGCACTGAGCACAACATGCAAACTAAAAGGAAAAGCAGCCAGGCAAGGTGGCTTATGCCTGTAATCCCCAGCACTTTGGGAGGACCAGGTGGGTGGATCACCTGAGGTCAGGACTTCAAGACCAGCCTGACCAATATGATGAAACCCTGTCTCTACTAAAAATACAAGAATTAGCCAGGTGTGGTGGTAGCTCCTACAGTCCCAGCTACTCAGGAGGAGGAGGCAGGAGAATCACTTAAACCTGGAGGCAGAGGCTGCAGTGAGCCAACATCGCCCCACTGCACTGCAATCTGGGCGACAAAGCAAGTCTCTGTCTCAAAAAAGAAAAAAAACAAAGGGAAAAATAAAACTCAAATCCTACTCGACATTAAAGTGAAAGCACGAAGAACATCTGCCTTTGGGAGTGGCCCCCACAGGACTCACTCTGCTCAGGGACTCATCGCCACGCTCCTCCCACCTCTGTGCACGTGATAACCCTGCCTCCGAGGCCGGTAGGTGCAACTTGTCAAGGCAAAGGCAGCACAATCATGACCCCCGCTCCAGAAGGGCCGAACGCCGGCTTCCACTTGGGCCTGCGGCAGCTTTATTCACAGGGTGAATCCTGCAAGGTTCATCTCCTACTGAGGGAAATAAAGCAAGCTATTTCTTATTCCAGCTCAACCCACGTGTTTGAAATCCTACAGGCTTGGAATGTTTGTACATAATTTTCAAATTCATTTAAAATGGCTTATACACAATTTATGTTTAACAAACTTTTCACATGAGAATTTAAAAGCATTACAAACACAGCAAAAAGCCATGATGATTTTCAGCTTTCTGTCTACAATATGCTCTTTTAAAATACCTTAAGAACCAAAGAAGCCAGACCCGGTGGCTCACACCTGTAATGCCAGCACTTCGGGAGGCCGAGCGGATCACCTGAGGTCGCAAGTTCAAGACCAGCCTGAACAACGTGGAGAAACCCCGTCTCTACTAAAAATACAAAATGAGCTGGGTGTGGTGGCGCATGCCTGTAATCAATCTCAGCTACTTGGGAGGCTGAGGCAGGACAATCACTTGAACCTGGGAGGCGGAGATTGCAGTGAGCCAAGATCGTGCCACTGCACTCCAGCCTGGGCAATGAGGGAAACTTCGTCTCAAAAAAAAAAAAAAAAAAAAAAAAAGAACTAAAGAAAAGCTCACTGGGCAACACTTTTATCCACACATCATGACTCTTCAAAGACCTTTCAATCCCGGCACAGGGGCCTGCAGCTGTGCTGGAGTCCCTGGCCCCTGGTTTCTGCAGGAAAATAAAGCTGAACAGCCGCATTCCAGTAATTCCGAAGAAAGGGACCGAGAACAGGTTTTAATAATGAAAAAGTCTCAAGTGACTGGTCATGTATGAAACATGGTGCTAAAGTAGTTTTTCAATTTATAGAAGAAACAGACATACAATGCAAAAAACGCGACTTGCTCACCTTGGTGAGGGCGGGGAGCACGGAGTTTCCACAATCTGAGTCTTCTTGGCATCGAGTGTCTGGAAATGGGCTATGAGCGCCTCCAGGTCTTCCTAGGAAATCAAGCAGGCACACGTGAGACTCGTTCCCTGGACATGCCACGGAGCCACAGCCTGCTCAGCTTTCCTCCAGTCAGTGCGACTGGACTGGGCTAGGTCACGTCTGTGAACGGGTAACACACTGTGCCTGTGTTTGAAATGCAGAGTTCGACACATTCCAAAGTCACCAGAGCTGGACCTCAAAGGTGGTTTATTAGAAGCGTAAATGTGTACTCCAGGTATCACCTCATTCCAGACCCTTAACGCTCCCCCTGCAGGACCTTCCACTTAGACAAGCCCCTAGCTACTTCGGCGCAGGCACCCTCAGCGCCTCTCACAACCCAGGCCTGGCCAGCGCACCTGCCTGCCTTCCTGTCTGCAGCGTCCGATACATTTCTCTCACTCATTTGCTTCCTCCACACCCCTCTACCCCAACAAAATATGAGCTCCATCACAGCAAGACTTGCAACTGGTTAAAACGCTGCCTGCACAGCAAGGGCGCGGCAAACGCCAGCTGCGGTCTATCTGTGGAAGCTCTTGAGTTTTCCTAGCATGGTCGGTGACTTAAGGCACTGAGGGGGGCAGCACTGGAACCGAGTGTTCCTGCCTCAGCCAGAACCCATTTCCCAACACTCACGAAACACCCCAGACCGACAGCTCCAGTTCCTTCTTTCCTCAGCTGTCCTTCTTGGAGCTACAGACACCTGCAGATCACTTCCCTCTCCAGCCCCACCTCCCACCCAGCCCTTACTCCCCGAGCTACACCAGCTTCCTCTCCGTTCAATGAACACACACCCCATTCCCTCAGCCTCAACAGCCGCCTCGCCCCATCCGTGTTTCCTTCAGCCCACCCCTCAGTCCTGGGGTGAATGTCAATCCCTCCCAGTCAGCTCTCACAGCAGGACACAGTGCTTAGAAGTCTGTAGATGCGATATTTAAAACATATACGGTAGAGAACTCTATCAAAGACACTCCTGTGCACCATTCCCAGGGTAAGGGATAGTGTCACTTGTGTGTAGCACCCACACATTTCCCAAACTAACCACTACCTGGAACTCAGAGCTTATTAGTCTCAAGCTTTTTACACTTCTATTACACACGTGGATCCCTAAGCAACACATAGTGCTGTTTTACAGCTTTAAATCTCACTAAATGGGCCGGGCGCGGGGCCTCACATCTGTAATCCTAGCTCTAAGGGAGGCCAAGGCGGGTGGATCACGAGGTTAGGAGTTTGAGACCAGCCTGGCCAACATGACGAAACCCTGTCTCTACTAAAAATACAAAAAAATTAGCCGGGCATGGTGGCAGGCACCTGTAACCCCAGCTATTCAGGAAGCTGAGGCAGGAGAACTGCTTGAACCCCGGACGCAGAGGCTGTAGTGAGCCAAGATCACGTCATTGTACTGCAGCCTGGGCAACAAGAGCGAGACTCCGTCTCAAAATAAATAGCTATTAAGTGGTATCATATCGCATTCTTTCAACTTGCTTTTTTTTGCTTAACAAGGTTAAACGGTTCAAATACTAATGTCTATGAACTGAGAAAGCTTTGCCATTGCTACTCTAAGGCAGCAGTCTTTAAACTTGAGTGAACTTCATCATCACTGGGTGACTAAGAGCAAGGTGGTAGGATCTGGGTGACGCCGGTGGCCTAGTCAGTGACAGCCTCTCCAAGGTGACATTAAGCTGAATGCCGAGAATACGACAGGAGTATGGCTGGGGTCCAAGTAAGACCACAGGCAGAACTCGGCATGTTTGAGACACTAAAAAAAAAAAAAAAAAAAAAATGCACTACAGCTGGAGGGAGCCCAGGGAGACGCTGAAGAGGAAGGCAGAGCCAGGACCAAGTGCAGGTGCCAACCAGGTGATCTGATACAGGAGTCTCTGCGCAGAATTCCAAGCTGTCCCCAAGATCTCCCTTCCCCCAAAAATTCCCAGGACTGTCAAATAATGGGATTACCACTCTCGTGATTACGTTGCATTGCAGACAGCTGAATTTAAGAGAGCTCGATGATCCTCCGTGGACCTAGCCTAATCAGATGACCAGTTATTTTAAAGGTTTGTTTTGAGGATTAAGATAACATAAAAATCCCCAGGCCCGACACGCACTCTTCTCTTACAGAAAGCTATAGTTACAATCACCTACATACTGGGCACCGGAAAGACACACGAAGATGAGTAAATATGACAGGTAACAGCTGGTTACTGAGTGCTTACTTTTTGCCAAGCACCATTCCGAAGATGCCACACAGGGAAACTGACTTCCTGTGCCTCGACCCTAACCAGTAGGTCATGCCACTGCACTCCAGCCTGGGCGACAGAGCACGACTATGTTTCAAAAAAAAAAAAAAAAAACAATGTCAAAGCTAAGAGGAGGGTGAGGGAAAAGTCCAACTCCGTAATCTGAGCGATGAATACACAGAGAGATCAACGATTAGGAAGAAAAGGGACAAAGGAATGTGGTCAAGAGCTCCGGATTCTAGACGTCCGCTCACATCCCAGTTCCTACTTCATGGTTCGCCCGCTGTTCTGAATCCCTGTCAAATGGGAACACCAGTGCGGCGGAATTCTCCCGGTGGTGAGGTTTCAAGCCCAGGTAGCACTGTGCCTGGCACACAGCAAGCAATAAACACTGGCCATGAAAACTGCCCCCGGTTAGGAAACCCATGAGCAGTAGCCGAAGAACACTCAGCCCCAAGTTCAGGACGGACCCTCCCGCAGACCCTGGGCTGAGGACCAGAAGGAAGGAGACAATAGTGGTGGCCGCCATCAGCTGCTGTGAGATACCCTGCGGCTCCAGGGCCTTCTTCACTTAAGCCCATCTGCTGCTCACTCCTCAGGATTGCTGTGATTGTTCGTCCTCTTAAAAAACGAAAAGAGTGAGGTTCAGGAAAGCTAGGAGTCTTACTCCCAGACCAGACATCTTGCAGAGGCACCCCCTAGACTCAACCCCAGGTCGTCCTACGCCAAAACCCTGCCTCTTCCCACCACCCAGCCGCCCTTTAAAGGGAGGAAGAAGGGGGAGGAAACGCAGAAAAACGCCCGAGACACCATACGAAGAAAAGCAAGCACGTTAAAGGGAAAGCTCCGTCGTTCTTCGAGAAGCGGCCGGACACACGTGGAGACTCGGGAAGAGGCGGGCGCCGTGCAGCCGACCGGACGCGGCACCGGCTCGGCTCCCACAGCGCACGCGAGGACCCACAACCCGGGGGGCGCAGGGGCTCGGCCGAGGCTGCACGGCAGCGGCGTCGGGCCGCTAGGTCCGCTCTGTCCCGCTCACCTCCTCCTTCCGCGAGCGCTTGGACACCTTCTTCTCCATCTTGGCGGCTGTCTTCTCCGCGCCGCGGCCCTTCTTCTCCTTCTTTCCCTTCTTGCCCATCTTGCCGGATCCGAGGCCGCGCCGAAACACCAGAGGAGGAAACGGCGCAGGCTCTCCGCCCAGAAACAGGTGTTCGTGGGGCGGAGCGCGGCCGTTTCTGGGCTCGGCGCACAGAAAGGGCGTCACTTCCGGCCCCGAGCCCGAGTCGCTTCCGGGTGGAGGCACAACTGGGTTCTTTGCTAGGTTAGGTCTTGGAGCTTGGTCTTTGGCAGCGGGCTCGGGGGCCTCGGACTCCGCATAAGGTCCGGGAGAAGATGACCCACCCTGCGCTGGGCGCGGTGGCTCATCCCTGTAACCCTGGCCCTTTGAGAGGCCCTGGCGGGCGGATCGCTTGAATCCCTAAGTTCGAGCCCCCCCCCCCCAACTCTACAAAAGATGAGAATTAGCCGGCGTGGTGGCGCGCGCCTGCGGTCCTAGCTCCTCCAGAGGTTGAGGCAGGAAGATCGCTTCACTCAAGGGATTCCAGGCTGCGGTGAGCTACGATTGCACCACTGCACCCCAGCCTGGGCGACAGAGCGAGACCCTGTTTCAAAACACAGAAACCAAAAACATGGCAACCCCGGCCTGACATACCTGGGACAGGCTCGCCATTCTCACGCCCTGTGCCCCCAGCGAGCCAGTCCCCATGTCCGAGGAGACGCGCCCTCTGAGTTTTATTTTTATTTCTTGAGACAAGGTCTAGGTCTGTCGCCAGTCGGAAGTGCAGTGGCGCGATCTCGGCTCACCGCAACCTCCGCCTCCCGGGCCCAAGCGATTCTCGTGCCTCAGCCTCCCGAGTAGCTGGGATCACAGGTGCCCACCACGGCCGGCTCATTTTCTGAGTTCTCCCAGGATGCACGTGGCCCGTTTAGGTACATTGCTAAGCCCTGTGTATAATTGCCTAAGTATTAGCCGCATTTTTTCCGCGTGGACCAGTCAAATGAATGCTGTGACCTCACTCCCTAGTGAAGTTTGCGGACACTAAATAAGACAGTCCCTTCCACCATCCCATTTAAAATGTGCCAGATGATGGTAGGGCACGGTGGCTCACACCTGTAATCCCAGCACTTTGGGAGGTGGAGGCAGGCGGATCACGAGATCAGGAGTTCGAGGCCAGCCTGGCCAACAACATAGTGAAACCCCGTCTCTACTAAAAAATAGAAAAAAATTAGCTGGGCGTGGTGGCAGGTGCGTGTAATCCTACCTACTCAGGAAGCTGAGGCAGGAGAATCGCTTGAACCTGGGAGGCTGAGGTTGCAGTAAGCCCAGATGGCGCCATTGCACTCCAGCCTGGACCACAAGAGTGAAACTCCATCTCAAAAAAAAAAAAAAAAAGTGCCAGATGCTGTTAGGTACTAAGGACATGTCCTCAAATGTCCTAGTATGGAGGACGTTTGTGTCCTCATTGGTAGGCTAGAGCTAATGATAGCATCCTGCAAGGGTCCTCAATTTGTGGAGCCTGAAAAATAAAGATGGGTAAGATCCAAGTGTCTGTTAGGAAACTGTACTCGAGGATTTGCCTCAAATTACGTAAGAAATGGCAAAATCATCTGCAGAGTATGGAATGTTATGATTTGAAAGAGCAGAGTACAAATGCTCATCACTACTTGGAAGATGTCATCTTTCTTCTTGTAATCAAGGAACAAGGCAAGTTAAGGACAAAGACAAGCCAAGTTCAAGTGATTCTCCTGCCTCAGCCTCCCAAGTAGCTGGAATTATATAGGTGCCTGCTACCACACCCAGCTGATTTTTTTTTTTTTTAGTAGAGACGGGTTTCTCCACGTTGGTCAGGCTGGTTTTGAACTTCTGACCTCAGGTGATCTGCCCGCCTCAGCATCCCAGAGTAGTGGGATTATAGGTGTAAGCCACCGCACCTGGCCTCATAACCCGAGTTCTTTAAGAAGAAAAATGAAATTTGGGGAAATAATGAGAAGAAAAGGTAGAACCGGCTGAAAGTCACCGTGGTCTCCAGCACTGCTGGTAGGAAACTTGTGTGATGACAGGAAAAAAAACAAGAATGAGTTAGAAGCTGAGAGCAAAAAGGAGCTGGAGAATTTCACAGAAACCCAGCCTCAGCCTCTAGGCATGATTATCTTCTATGATGAGCTCTGCAAAAGGCTAAATCGTCACTATCGCCCTGGGGAAATAGTTCTGTCCCCTTTAGCCTGCTATGACTTTAAGAACATATCTAATCCCTTAATACTTTTATAAAAATCCTGGGTAACCCTGAAGCAACGCACTTGAAGCAAAATGGCTCTTCATTCACCGTACCTCTATGTGCAACACATTACAATGGTGCCCACTTCAGGCCAGTGAGAGGGAGTGCATACGACCTACTGAAGCTTTGGGAGGATCTCGTGGACCGGGGTTTAACGCTTTTATTATCTGAAAGAAGCTTGTAGCTAAATTAGAAGGCTCTCAGATTATAGGTGTCATGGTGATTTACATGAGATTGAAATTCTCGTTACTGATAAAGACAGGGAATGGAACATCTAAAATGAGATCAGATCCTAAAATAGTCAAAAGATTAAGTACAGGGCTCTGTTTTAAAATTCACGGTTTTGAAACTAATGCATTCCCTTTACCACTAACTTGCAGAGTGTATCAGGCGCCCTCTGCTGCCCTCAAGTGGAGTGCAGAAGAGAAAAATTAATACTGGACTACAGGCCGGGCGCGGTGGCTCAAGCCTGTAATCCCAGCACTTTGGGAGGCCGAGGCGTGTGGATCACGAGGTCAAGAGATCGAGACCATCCTGGTCAACACGGTGAAACCCCGTCTCTACTAAAAAAATACAAAAATAATTAGCTGGGCATGGTGGCGCGTGCCTGTAATCCCAGCTACTCAGGAGGCTGAGGCAGGAGAATTGCCTGAACCCAGGAGGCGGAGGTTGCGGTGAGCCGAGATCGCGCCATTGCACTCCAGCCTGGGTAACAAGAGCGAAACTCCATCTCAATTAAAATAAATAAATAAATAAAAATAAAAATACTGGACTACATTTTAGGAAAATATGCTAACTTCTAATTACCCTCACCACAAGTAATCATTGTGATTGGAAGGCTTTGCCAAGTGTGGTATGGATTATGTGGCTCTTTGTACGTTTCTCGTCTGGAAACTGGGAATGTTGAACTACTACACCGTTCACCTACTACACAGGATTCTTGGGAAAATCAAGTGAAACAATAATAAAGCTTAGGAAAGTAAAAAAGCAAAATACAAAGTTGGGTTTTTTTGTTTTTTGTTTTTTTTTTTTTGGAAATGGAGTCTCACTCCATCACCAGGCTGGAATGTAATGGCATGATCTCGGCTCACTGCAACTGCTGCCTCCCAGGTACAAGCGATTCTCTAACCTCAGTCTCCCAAGAAGCTGGGATTACAGGCGCCCACCACCACACTCGGCTAATGTTTGTATTTTTAGTAGAGATGGGGTTTCACCATTTGGCCAGGCTGGTCTCAAACTCCTGACCTCAGGTGATTCACCCACCTGGGATTATAGGCGTGAGCCACTGCACCCGGCCTTACTGAATTTTTTCTACTTCTTTGAATCCATTCCAGAGAGAAGAATAACATTTCCAACTATAATCAGGAATTTATCCATGTGTTGCTTATATACAATAAATGTCTATGTTTCAAGTGTGCACATGTGGCCAGGCTGAGGCAGGTGGGTGCTGAGAAGCAAGAGGAATTACAGTTGGCTCCTGGACTCTGAGAAGGGCCCCCGCTCAGGAGAATCCTCAAGGGCTGAGGAGAAACAAGCACAGAATTTGTCAGCCTTGAAGTTCCAAATTGGAAACGTGTGTCCCTGGGTAGGGTAAATGGATTACCTTCTTCAAGATTTTGCAATTTCTTTTTTTTGTGTTTTGAGATGGAGTCTCACTCTATTGCCCAGGCTGGAGTGCAATGGTGCGATCTTGGCTCACTGGAACCTCCGCATCACAGGTTCAACAGACTCTCCTGCCTCAGCCTCCTGAGTAGCTGTGATTACAGGTACCCGCCACTACCCCGACTCATTTTTTTCATTTTTAGTAGAGACTGGGTTTCACCATGTTGGCCAGGCTGGTCTGAAACTCCTGACCCTAGATGATGCACCCGCATCAGCCTCCTAAAATGCTGGGATTACAGGTGTAAGCCACCAAGCCTGGCCAATTTTCCAATTTCATAGCATAAAGCAAGATGTGATGTTCTTCTAATTAAAACAATAAATTAATCAAGGTGTAGAATTTAATATGTGTTAACACTGTCGAGGTCAAATTAAAATAGAGATAGATCTCTAAACAAAACATGTCAAAGTCAAATAAAAATATAGAGGGATCGATAAATAAAACATTTTGTATGGGAATCACAGAATTACATTGTGGGGCATATCCACAGGCTGGGGTGAACTTCAGTATGTCCAAAGAACAAAGAGCAAGTTGGGAATTTTATTAAAAAGAGAAATGTGGCCGGCTGAGGTGGCTCACGCCTGTTATTCCCAACATTTTGATAGGCCAAGGTGAGACGATCATTTGAGGTCAGGAGTTCAAGACTAGCCTGGCCAACATGATGAAACCCCATCTCTACTAAAAATACTGAAATTAGCTGACCGTGGTGATGCATGCCTGTAATCCCAGCTACTTGGGGGGCTGAGGCAGGAGAATCCCTTGAACCTGGGAGGCAGAGGTTGCAGTGAGCCGCGATTGCATCATTGCACTCCAGCCTGGGCAACAGAGTGAGACTCCATCTCAAAAATAAAACTAAAAAGAGAAATGTGGCCGGGCATGGTGGCTCACACCTGTAATCCCAGCACTTTAGGAGGCTGAGGCGGGTGGGTCATCTAAGGTGAGGAGTTTGAGACCAGCCTGGCCAACATGGTGAAATCCCGTCTCTACTAAAAATACAAAAATTAGCCGGGCGTCGTGGTGCATGCCTGTAATCCCAGCTACTCAGGAACTCAGGACGCTGAGGCAGGACAATCGCTTGAACCTGGGAGGCAGAGGTTATAGTGAACCAGGATCGCGCCACTACACTCCAGCCGGGTGACAGAACAAGACTCCGTTTCACATAACAACAACAGAAAATACAAAATACAAAAATTAGCTGGGTGTGGTGGCTGACACCTGTAACCCCAGCTACCTGGGCGGCAGAGGCATGAGAATGGCTTGAA